ATGAGACTAATGCTGGATATTTTTTGCTAAAATTGTTGAAAAAGTCCTAACAAAAAAGTCCTAACAATAACTTTTCAGAACCTTTCTTGCAGATAAGTAAATTTCACAAATACTCTAAAAACACTATTCAGAACATTTCTGATGCCGCCTCCTTGTTTCAGGCCTCTGAACATTAAAATCAGACATGAGCGCAAGTCCAGGTTTTGATTTAGACCTGATTTCCAGGTTAGCATTAGCATAAATCTGCAGAATTCTCCTCCTAAATTTCTTAATTTAGGTTGGGCATGTGCTTGTGAAACATATCCAGTCGAGGCCATGGCCTGCTCTTTGGTTTTCACTGCAAAGGGGTCTCAGGGCACAAAAGATCTCTTTCAGGTGAAGCTAAGCAGTAAGATGCACTCCCAATGCTGATATCTACGGGTCTCAGCTAGGGCAAATCTAACGTAAAGGTATCAGCATGTCTAATGTGATCACTGCACCCTCAGCATCCACTGTTGGGGCCTGCAGATCCACTCCCTGCCCCACACTACAACCTAACATAGGCATGACAGATGCTCTGGCACAGGAATATCTGAAAAGACACCAAGTGCAAAATGTGTTGATGGGGTTTATCTTCCTTCTTAAAATGCGTGTGCTCACATTGAAAGAGAAAGGAACATGTATCCCCCTCAAAAGTAGAGATCCTGGCCCTTGTCCAGCATGATCGTTGTTCAGACTACAAGGGCAAGACTTGAAAATGCCCTTTTCACATGTTGTTACAACACAAAGCAGAATGTCAGCACAAAGGCTTCCCACTATATTTCTTGGGCTTGATTGTTCCTGTGTCTTTATGTGAGAAATGCACGTACAAAGGTAGGTTTGGAAAGAGCAGAGCATTGGGTGTGGTAGCAGATCTCAAATCTGCTGGTACAGTGGTAAAAATTTTGGCTTGGGCATTGCAGGAGGCCCTTGGGAGGACCCTGGACACAAGCACCTGCTGACCAGAGCAATGCACCCTTGGGCATGTGCTCCAGACAGTCAGCCAGCCCTCTACGAGGCCTCCTGTTGCTCATCAGGTAGTTGGCAGTGGGGCACGGCTGCTTGTGGTTGCTTTGTCCCAGTACAGAACACAGCCAGTACTTTTGGGGTGCCCCATAAGACAGCATGGCTCTCAGGAGTTCTCCTCTGACACCGTGCCTCCCCATGGTTTCATCTCTGGCAAGGAAATGTTTGCTGCTGCTGCATTCAAACATGATTTCATGTTAACCATTGCAGTAGAGTACAGTATATTAAACACACAATATTAAATACACATGGCAGATTAAACCTCTTAAGACACTTGTTTACTGAAAATAATTGCAGATGGCTTTAAACACTTTATGCCAATATAAACTGTGGTTTAGCAAAACTGGAATAAATGTATAGACAGTAGTTTCCCACTATAGCTTTAGTTATACTATAAGAAATAAAGTGACCAAAACACACCAGAGTTGAGAAGATGAAGTAAACTCTGTTCTTGCTGTAGGCAGTTTTTAGCAAGGTTGCTTTATCATAAATGTCCAGCAGATAAATTAGTTGCCTCATACAGGATAATATAACTTTGTATAGTTCAAAATGATTTAATATATATAGCAATATATATATATATATATTATATATATAAGCAATACTTTATTAGCAACCTTTATAGTTGTAGATTATTTGGAATTAAAAATGTGGAACTTCCCAGACAGATTAAAATAATTTTCTGTCAATGGTGAGATAGGAAGAATGAAGATTATAGGGCTCATGTTGAGGTTGTTGCAATGAACGTTCATCCATACTGACATTTCCACCTGCAGGTGCCCTGAGACCTCCCCTGAAGCTTAGTCACTTAGCTTTGTTAGGTAGGATTCCTTTCCTAACAAGTTGCCCACACTCTCTATCATAAAACTTCAGTTTTGAAGATAAAGATTTTTTCTCTCTGTTGTTCATTATGCACATAATCATGCAATTAATGACTTTGTCATTTTTACCCGTGCTTTTTGCAGGCCATCTGCTGTTTCATTGCTCTGAACCTGTTGCATTGCACGTTTGCCCATGTAAGTAAAATTCTTCTCTGCAAGTTCCTAGTTTCTCTGCAGCAGGTTTCTTTAGGTGTCACAATTGCCAGCTCATGGCTAGGGGTCAAGAGGCACCAGAGCTTAGCTTTCATCATCTGGCAATAAAACCTTCGCTCTGGTGCTTCCCTGCCACAGCTGGGCCTCTGCTGAAATGGATGCAGCACACTCCTGATGTAAATAAAGCCCCGGGCACTTGCGCAGCACACAGCAATGAAGTTCTGCTGGTGCCCGGGAAGGCAATGCAGCTCTGCCATCTCCTGTGAGCCCTGTACACCCTGGTGATCCATGTAATCAGCAAGCTGACTCTCTCTTCGTTTGCTTCGTGTTACAGAGCAGATGGCAAAGTGGGCTCATTAGCTCTTTCGTATTACAAATGCCAGCAAATATTTGACATGAACTCTCCTTTCTCATAATGCACATGAACTTGCAGGAAAAAATAAACCAAAACAAAAAAAAAACACAACCAAAAAACAAACATGATTTTTCTCCCTCCAGAGGATACAAATTAGGCCTGTGTATGTTGCTTAGCTGTCCTAATATCAGCCCACTGTCTGATGCCCCATCTGCACCAGTGGAGGTGCAGAGCATGCCAAGCAAAAGAGTTTCCTTGGGTAAAGGTGTGGTACCTTCCTGGGCAGCAGAAATGAGGATAACAAGAACTCTCTTTTAACTCAAAAGTTAAAAACCAAGTACACATGAAAGTGACAGCAGAGACAGTCCTTATGGGGACCTTTAGAGTCCCCAAAGGGGCTTGAAAAATGCTATGAACAAATGCATGACAGAAAAAAAAAAAAAAAAAAAAAAAGTGAATGGAAGGTTTGGCATTTTAAATGGGGGAGGCACCTTCTATGTTACACATGGCCAGTGTGCTCCAAGGAGCCTCAGAGTCCCAGCAAGCCAGAGAGCATTCGGTGGGTGCTGTCTGGCAGCTGAGGTACTTCACGAGGGAAGCAGAGTGTGGCCTCTCCTGTAAGGAATGGAGCACCTTGAGCAGAGAAGTACAGGAGAAGGAGAAGCTGCTCCTGCACCGCTCTGCAGGGCAGGCTTTCCCCACAATTGTATGTCCCTGCAGCTCTCTGAATGCCTCATAAGAACAGATATCATCTGAGTGCCGACCTGCCCCCAAAGCTAGTGGTGAGGCTTGTTTAATTAAACATTCATAACTTTGGCTGAAATGTACAGCTGAAAGATGCAAGATATAATTATGAAGCATTATTATGGTGATTGTGTGGCTAAAACTGCAAGCGTACAAAAGGGACAGCTCTCCAGCCTTACACCTGTTTTCCAAATTATTTTTCTCCTTAGGGGATAGGAACAAAGGGTAGGGGTGAAGCCTGCTGCATGCTGCCTCATTTCATATGTGGCCAGGAGCACCCTTGCACCTGGCAGGCCAGGACATGGGAGTTTTTGGGTGTCAGAGCATTTGCTATCAGAAAGCCACTAAGAGGGAAGGAAATCTCTGGAGAAGCTGCCTGCATGCTGCAAGGTCCGTGGTTTTCATTGTCGTCATAAATAACAGCTGAAACGCAAGCTGTAAAGATGAGCTGAGAGCCTTATCAGTTAAAATGGGGTCCATGATCATGAGGCACTAACTGTTCCCCTTTGGGCTTCTCCCTCCTCGAAACGAGCGTTTGGGTGGAGGAGCAGAGGGAAGGGGCAAGAGGTGGCAGCCGTGGGGCGGTGTGTGGTGGCTCACTGGGCAGCAGGAGGGTGGCCCTGCCAGGCGTCGCCACTTTCCTGGAGTACGGCCTTTCTGCAGAGACAAGCTGAAGAGTTAATCTGGCAGCGAGACCCAGCCTGCGTTGCATGATACCGCCGGGTTCGGATTGAGTAAGCTTAATTAGATGATGAGAACCTCATGGCAGGGCGTGCCCTAGTTTCAGTCAAAGGTGGAACATTATTAAGCACCATTTACATCCAGAGAAACACCCACTTTTGAAATTGCTGATGCCAGTAACGCATGCTTTGTGCTCAACTCGCTCAGTGAAATGGGAAGTCAGCGGCAGAACACAGAGTTTCTAATTTGCTTGCTGCCAGCACAGTGATTAATGAAGTTTCAAAACACCCCATCAGCCAATTATGATGGATACTAACCCTTTAATAGGAATCTCTGGCTGGATCCTTGTTCCTTGGATTTAGTGCTCAGACCAGTTAGACCATAAATTATTTTCTCTCTGGGCCAAAAGAGCAAATTCCCCCCCAAAATAATAATCAGCCTGAACTTTTGGTTTCACGGAGACCAGCTGCATGAGCAGGGATGCTGTACATTTTGTGCTTCTTGCTTATCAGCATGCAGTGAGGATCGATTGCTCTGCACCATAGGCTTCCTTTTTTTTTGGGAGAGCACTCCTGCTGGGTGGATGGACGAAAGGGGTCTGGCAAAAAAATAAACCTTAATTCAAAAAACGTTGTACAGTAGAGAGTCCAAATTCTGCATCTTTGCAAAATGTACACAAGATAGTGTATAATTAAAAAAAAAAAAAAAGATGAATCTGCATGATTACAGCTTTGTTTTGTTTTGTTTTTGATTTTTTTTTTTTGTTAGGTGAGACGTATTTTTGTCTTCCCCTCATTAATCCGTTAATCCATTAGAGAAGAGTATGGTGAGGTAGCTACATCTTACTAGTTGCTTTGCTTTTGTTTAACTCATCCCAGAGTTTAAATAAGAAACACACAGAGGGAATTCCATACCCCAGAGTGAACAGGAACAGGTGGAAGAACCATTTTCAGGTTTCTTCTGTGTGCATACATTCTGTCTTAAGAACAAACTAACTCACGTGCACCTTGAAGAAGAGGACGCGCTCTCTCCCCTGGGTCTGTGTGTTATTGCCTGCTGCAGCAGCGCAGCGGTTGGCAGTGCAGGAGCCCTGCTGTGGGCAGCCAGTCCTGGCTGCTGCAGGGGGAGAGGTGCAGCTGGCATGCACGGGATGATCGTTCTAACAGAAGAATAACGTGCAAAAATGTTTGGTCGAATTACTTTTCATTACAGCAGAGCAGAGCACAGTGGCTGACATGCAATGCAATTTCCACACGAGATGGGATCATTCACCCACCAATTCCAGACGCTTGCCTCTGGCCTTAACACGGGTAGATTTCAGCCAAATATGCTGCTGCTCACTTGGGGACCTGTATCAAATTATGCTCCTTCATAGCTTCCAAGGGGGGCTTGGTGTCCGCCTTTAGTGATGAGAAGGAAGGAAAGCACTGCCACAGAGGCCATGGGACCATGCCTGAAACAAGCTGCTTCTGCCTCAGTTTTAGATGACCTTTGTGTCAGGGCGCCTTCATCCTGCATTTTCTGAAATTGTATCATCTCAAGACACCCCAAAATCATTCTCCCCTCCCTTATGTGAGCAGGGACAGAGTCCAGGGGTGATGGGTGTCCCCACACTGCACGTGGCTGGGGAATCCATTCACCCCAGGCCCCAGTACTGCTGTATTTTCTTCTCCACACCTCACTCTTATTGAGGGGGGAAGCACAACAAATGGGGTTCTTTCTTTCTCACGTGAATTCCTGTTCCTCAAGCACAGGCTTGGAGTCTTGCCTGGCTAGGAAGCAGAAACAGTGTTGTAGTGCAGTGTCACCATGTAGGTGATGGCCCATCTCCTCCCTCTCCCTGACCTTGATGCAGGGTTTGGGGGCTGCTGGTTGCCACCTGGAAAGGAATGTGGAGCGGGGAGCAAAGGAAGGTGAAAGCCCAATCCTCAAGGGCTGCCTAGAAGGGATGGGAGACTTCTGTGCAGGAGAATTGCTTTGGTTTCTATTCTACAGCCTCTAACAGATGCCACCCACCTCCACATCAATTTCCAGGCTATGGCAGTAGTTCATCCCGACTCCATCCACCACCGCGCTGTCTCACAAATCTGTGCTTTCATATGATGGCTGGCACCCAGGATCGATGCTGCACGTAGGGAGGCAGCAGGAAACACCTGCAGTGGAGCAGTTAATCTGCAGGATGTTTGTCAGAGTTTCTCCAGAGCTGTTAAAATGTAAAGTACCATCGCAGCAGCTAACGCAGACCCATTCATCTCCCAGTCAATGCTTTGCTGAGGCTCCAGCCCCTGCTAATGCTTTGTGTTGGAGAGCCTCAGGGAGCAGCGAGCCCTGGGCTAAGCCCACCAGGGAGTGCAGGATGGCCAGACACAAGATGCAGTCCATCAGATAAACTTCACTGCAGTGACCAACAGCAGTAACATGCTGTTATGCTCCAATGAGTGTTTTGTTGCTGGTACAAAATACATATGGTTTTGGGGGTCCTTTTCTGGAATAAAGGTGTCCCAGGGACCACTGCTCTGAAAAAGGGCAAGGCTCCAGCCAGAGGAGCGCTGCTGCTGCCTGCAGGCAGCCCAGGCTATGCCTGGAGGTGTAGGGAAGCAGGGGCGAGCTCCTGGTGGGCATGGGTAGGAAGGGCAGCCCACGGGCAGGTCTTGCTGCTGCAGGGGTGTTCTGCTATGGAAACGGCTGGAGGCAGAGATAGATACCTCCAGACAGCTCCACCAGCACCTCCCAGCTTGGGTGCAGGTCCTGCTGGTTGTCTGCACCATTTGTCCCAAGGGACAGCGGGCAGGTTTCCAAATACAGGTGGGGCTTCACAAATATTAAAGTAAATAATAATATTCACAAAATATTATACCAATATTTATATTATACAAATATTACATGAATACTTCTCATGCCTCTTCACAGGGCTTCTGCTGTCTTCAGGAAGAAGTTGGATGTCAGGGGCACGCAGGTTTGGGCCTGTGCAGTGACTTCGTGCCATCCCTCAGGAGAACAGGCCGTGTCGTGCCTGGCCTCACCCCGCAGCTCTCCTGCACTGCTCCGGCAGCTCCCTCAATGCCCGCACTGTTGTCACAAAACAGACCAAAAGCAGGGCACTTCTCTCCTGTAAGGGTCCCTGCCCACCACCTGTTCATGACGAGGCTGCTCTGTGCTCCTCGCCTCCTCTGGAGCCAGTAGCACAGTGGTGTGGTTAAACTGTGAATGGGGTGCTTGCAATGGATGTTAAAAGAAATATGGGGATGGAAATGAAATACAGAGCTGATTTTTCCTGGCAGTACCGAATTCTCAGCTGCAGCAGGGAGCACAGATCAGTAATCATTTCTGTGACTGAAATTCAAGCAGGCGGTGTGGAGCCTAGTGAGAGTGTGTGATACAGCAGGGACCTCGCAGCATCTGCAGTAACAGCTAAACAGGAGCAGGACATACTGAGTGCTACATGACAAACCTATCCAGTAAATGACCACGTTCTCCTCTTCTCAGGATCCTCTGGAAGGGGTGTCAGTGGCTGCTGTAACCACTGGCCGCCCCTCAGTTTCTTCCTCATGTAATCAACTCTTGCCTGGGTCAAGAGTGCTGGGTTACTAATGGATCAATCAGTTCAGCTCAGTCGTATGCCATGTCAGCTTTGTCAGAAAGTGTGTCAGAAGTCATAAATCACAGCCCAAATTCAGTTAGTTAATTCTCCCAAGTAACAGCATTTTCCCCTCCTCCATTGGACATAGTAACAGCTGAGCCAACTGTATAAATTGGGACAAAATACTTCTCCTCTGTACAAAAGTATTTTTTTTAAAAGCAACGTTTCATAAAGATTAAATATTCAAATATTTTGCTAGTCAAAATGAACTGGACTGTCTCTGTAGGTAGCCCAAAACCAATTACACACATTGCTTTTCCCAATATACCCATTACATTCAGAAGGCTCATGTAGAAAACACTTCTTGATTCTTATCCTCAAGCATTAAGGTACATTTACCTCTCAACACAAGTAGCAAATCCTGCCTTTGGCTCAGTGATTTCATCTGAGCTACCATTTTTCACTTCTGTTTATCAGTCTGCATAGGTTTCTCCGTTTACTACATTGGTAAAGGAATTATATTTAGAAAGTAATCACAGCAATTGACTTGACAATGTGCTGTTTGCGAATAAAGCAATTGCTTTCTTGATGGTTACTTGCATGCACCTTTAAAGCTTAGCCTGTCTGCCCATTCAGCTAGAAACCATAACCTGCCTCTCACTGCCATTTGTTCTGTTTGCCCTATTAGGGACACACTTTCCCTGATCCAGCGGCTCCTACCCCTGAAAAAGTCAAAAATGCTGCAGGACACTGTGAAAGTACTGAGGCTGTCAAACACAGGGGCTGGATGTTCCTGATACGTGGAAACCTAATAGGGGAGGATATGTTTCAACAAAAATAGTAACTTCAGCAAGATAGTGTTTTCCCCAACATTTCACCTTCTGTGTCAGGGAGCTGAAGCATCCAGCTCTCTGCAGACTATAGGCACTGGCTGGTTTTGCGCTGCCTTTTTTTTTTTTTCTCTTCACAGTCCTCAAAGTCCTGGCCCACAAGTGTGATATTAAAAATGAAATAAGAAGCCTAGCTTTAAGTAACAGACGCACTGTGTGCAGGGATGTGAACACACATAGATAGACCTGGGCTGAAAGAAGTGGGTAAAGCATCGTGGGCAGGAAAGCAGGCTGGAGCTGGTGGGAAACACAAGCCTACCTCTGGGCTGTGACCAACATGTCCCCAGCACCCATCTCTTGCACTGAGACAGAAACAAACCATGGTGCCGTGGTGGTGCTGGGGGAAGGCTTTGGACACTGGTGACACTGCAAGGGGACAGGCTGCAAATGAGAGCTGAAATCCTTCACGAGGAGACAGCAGACCAAAGGAGAAACCTTAATCCAATTATCTCCTCACAGAATATTCTTCAAGAATTATTCCTAATATGATTTTGCCTTAGAGCTTCTCCCACATGTGTTACAACTCAGCTTTATCACTAATATTGCGACAGTAAAACACTTTGCTGCATCTTTCCTGTCTCTTAGCCAGATAACTCCAAACAAGACTTCTTTTGTATCAAAAGGCTTGTGAAAATCCAGCTGTAAGTTAGATCTGAGTACAATCACTGTCCCCAAGCACTCCTTTCAAGCTTGTGGTAATAAGTAACTTGTCACCAATGGGCAAAAATATCTTACTTATAAAAGCATAACACATTTTTAGTATGCCCACTAAAACGCAATAAAGGGACTTCTCCTTAGACACAAAAGAGTGGTAGCTCAGTGCTACTGCTGTCTTCGGGGTGCAATAACCCCCAGCTAGGTGTATTCCTAAACCCAGTGCTTATCACTCACCTTAAAATCCATTGATTGTTTCCTTCAGCCATGCTCTTGTTTTGTTTCTGGCGTACATCAAAGCAAGTGACACCCACATGAACTCAAAAAGCTGTTAAAATCCCACATAGCTTCCCTTCAAAGAGTGTTTATGGAAATTGCACGATCTATAAGCCATTAGAGAATGACAAGAATGGATTCTGGTGGAGTTGGTTTCAGCCCTTTCTCTTGTCAACCCCAGGGACCTTCAGGATACTTAAAAAGATACAAAAACAGTACTTAACGAATCATTTGAAAAAATGGTAGAATTGTTGTTTACTACAGAACTTTGAGAGAGTTTTATCTCCTTTTTCCTAGCATAAGTATTATTTTTATATGTAAATTAACTTGTTAAGACACAGGTTGGCAAAATCAGAAAATGAAGAAGAACAGACACTGCTTTAGATCAGCTGCATAGCTCATCCCATCTCAGTGCAATGGGGTGACACTAAAGGTCCTCACTGATGTATCTGAGAGCAGGGACATACCTACAGCGTGTGGCTTTGTTGGGAACTTGCTCACCAGCTATGAGCCTTTTCCTGGTCAAGCTGCCTCCATTTGTCCTCTCCCCAAGAGGTGTGGTCCTGAGTCCCCACCGAGGTGCAGCTGCTTCTGTTAATTAGCTTCAGAAGCCCTCTCAACTTGAAAAGAGGGCAGAACCATATTTTCTTCTGCAGTTCTGCCACATAGGAGGTACCTTACTAAAATAATCTGCTAACAAGGTAGCTAGCTGTGTAAATAACATCCTACAATTGCCATCAATAATTTTCAAACTGGACAGAAAAATATCATGTGGTGGTTTACTTCTGACCTTGACATAGAGAGCTCCTCATGTTTTTTTTTTTTTTTTTTTTTTTTTTTTTTTTCCCCCTGAAATAAGGTCTTGTCCATTGTAAGCAAAACAAAAATAACAAAGACTGATGTCCTTCATTCCTCAGATACCCATTCCTCTATCAGCCTCTGTAGGAATACAGCCTGTGAGATGGGTATGAGGAAGCTCTAGGAGAACTTGATCTTCTTACACCACAAACTTCGCAGACCTACATGTTGGTTTCAACCCAAATTGCAGGAAAACATCATCAGTGGTACAATTAGCAGCCCTCTAGCATGTCACATACATGCCATCGATAACCCAGGCTAAACACGTAGGCCCACCAAGTTGCAGGCCTTCTTTGCAGCTGGTAGAGTGATAAATGATTGTAACTAGTATTGACTACACATAGAACTGGCTGAAACTGTTTGGTAAAAATTCTCATTTAACAAAAAAAAAAAAAAAAAAAGAAAAGACACACACACACACACACAATGGTTTCAGATGAAAGGAAACTATTTACGAATGAATTCAAATTTACTGAAGTTTCACACACACCTCCCACCTTCCCCTCCCATGATAAGATTTGGGAAAAGAAGGGCAGTTGTTCTGTCATCGTTTGAAACAAGATTTGCTAAGTAGGACTGACCCACATTTGTTTAGCAAGAATGAAATCTCCCCCGCATGAAACAAAACATTTTGTTTTGGGCTGAACAAAGTGTTTCATTGATTCTTACACATATTTAACACAAAGCTCCTTTCTGTGAGAGATCCAAAACATTTTCATGCTGAGTTGACAGAAAATTACTGATTTTTTTTTTTTTTTTTTTTTTTTTTTGCACAGTTCCAAGAGTCTGGGTTCTATCTAGCAACCAGGAAACATTGAAATAATTACTATTATTAAGATGGCTTGGAACTGCTTCTCATACTGCAAGAAATCCCCTTGTAATAAAACCTGCTGCCAGGCAAAAATTCATCAGGCGGTGTTAGGAGAACTTGGGATGAATTTTGAGTATGGTCAGGTCAGATTTCAAGTTCAATCTGACAAGCCTGTGGCTGTAAGCTAGCAGGAACTGTCAGCTTTGAATATATTTCAATTTGTGTAGAGCAGTGTGTTGGGGCCTGTTATTGAGACAAAGATCTGTGGAGCTAAAGTCACACGGACTGAGACTTGATTTAGAAACCGGAGCTGGTTGGCACATTTCTCTGGACTGAACTTCCTATCAGAAGATCTTAAAGAGGTAAATACCTCTAACAGTTCTCCCAAAAGAGAGAAATCCATTACAACCAGACCTCTCAGCATGCCACTTTCATTGTTTAGTCACTCTTTTAAAAATAGGTCATATTAAAATACATATCTCTGTCATTTTAAAAACACCTTAGCTTCTCTCTGGGCAGCATCACTGATTCTAGTGACATCTCTAGGTACAAAATACAAAAACCTCTTTGTGAGATGGTAGCTCCACAGACATGCTGTAAAGGAAGTCTGAAACTGGTCTAGAGCACTGCCAACATTTGCACCACTGGTACTGCTGTGTACGCTCCCGCTTTCCTAATCCAAACAAGCATCTTATAGAAACCAACAGCGATTGTGCATGGGTGAGGATGACGCAAATCGAGAAAAGGATCCTTGCATTTTCGCTAACTACATACGTAAAAAAAAAAAAAAAAAAAAAAAAAAAGCACAACATATGCCCTGCCCTGTTCAGCACAGATCAGCAAATTTGATTTTTCAGTTTCATCACTGAAAATGCAAAAAGGAATAGGGGAAAATTAATTCAGCTGACATCACATGGAAAATGTTCAGGCTTTTTTGTCAAGTAAAATTAAAAAAATTACTTTATCAATACCAGAAATGTACCAGAAAAACTGAAGCAAAAGTTTCATCTTGGCCTATTTAATCATTGCTTGACTTAATCCTTTAAAAATGTGATTGGCTGTGAAATTAAAACTATATGTGAGCGTCAGAATGTTTAATTTAAAAATACCAGAAGGAAATGCAACAACTTTTTTTTCCTAATTCTCTATTCAAAAATAAAATAACTTTTTGTCCCAAATTCACAATACTTACAAAATGTCTTTGGTTAAAAAAAAAAAAAAAAGAAAAAGAAAAAAGGAAAGAAAAGAAAGAAATGTGTAGGCTTATTTTTCTTTTGTTTAAAGACATTTCTTCAAATTTGTGTGGGTAATTTTATGTGGTCTCAGTGAACAGTCTAATAAGTTTGATTTATTTTCTTTATAACATAGGTTTTAGACATCCAAAGACCTGGCCAAACTATCTATGGCCTACCATTAATTATGAGTTGGATGGAAAATGGCAAGATAACAAATACCTTTGACTTCACCAGGAAGAGAAATACAAAAGATACCCCATAGAGAGGCAAAACTCAGACCTTGGCCAAGGAGCCTAGAGGCTGAGCAGGTCTTACACAAATAAAGCAATGGCAGATTGAACCTGAGAGATGCATGGCGGCAGAGGCTGGCAAGGCCACCCAGAAGTGCTCAGAGGAGCAGCATAACACCCACATCTGCGCAGCATTTTCCCCACCCTTGCCAGCCCTTCTGCAACGAGCAGTTGAGGCAGAAGTAGCAGCATTGTGGATGGCAGAGGAACTTGGCACCACCTGGTGCTGCACCTGTGGTAGGACAGATGCCACCTCATGCTCAGCCTCACTTGTCACAGCTCCACAGTGGGGTTCCTCTGAGACTGGCTGGTGTTGGAGACACTGTGGAGGCACCGTGGCTGCTGCTTGTAGGATTGCCATATCCCTGTCCAGGGCACTGCCTTCTCTGCACGGACACAAGAACACATGGCTTATGGATCTGCAGTTTTCCTGGCACATATGATTAAGTGCTCATCTCCAGTGAAAAAAAAAGCTGTATGTCTCAACTCATCAGATCTGCAGTACACGATGTTCACATCTGTAGGGTTGTGACTTCCTTTCCATTGCACCCATTTGCAGATATTTACTGGGGTAGAACACACCCAGAAAGTCAAACAAGCTTAAAAAATGGCCACAATCCCCTTAGACAACACTTCCTTGCAAAATAAGATGGGATGTCTCAGATATGAAATAGAGCTAATTACATGCTGCAACAGCAGATGTGACAACGAGTATGGGATTTCAAAAATTCAGGTCATGGCCTAAAGCCATTCACAACACAACAAAAATGTCCATGGGCTGCAAAAAAAAAGGGCCTTCCAACTATGTTGGAAGCACAATGCAATGATTCGTGTGCAGCTAAGATGTGCCATGCGTGTTTCTAATTTGCTCAGTTGTCAATCAGGAATAATTGCTGCAGTCAATGAAGTTATGCCAGTGTAACAGATACGGAAGAGATTCCAGCACTCCATGTCTCTCAGCTTGTTCTAGCTGGGGAAAGAAGGCTCGTATTACTGACAGTACTGCAGATCCCATGCATTTTTATAAACACCAGTTTTGTGGAATAATTGCAATCTTTCAAATCATTTTCATTGCTCCATTCCTCTTTTTGAAACAAAATCTTGCATTCAAAGCATGAAACTTCCCTTGACTTCTTTTTACTGATCGTGGTTCCACCCCTGAGAAAGCAGCTGTCTGAGTGTATTAGCAGCCTTGTCTAACCTGACTTCAAATTTACTAATTTAATTTGGAAGGGGCTAGAAGAAATACAATTGTGTGCACTCTTGAATGTGACCGTTGGTCCTCAGGGAAAAACCTTCTCCCTGCAGAACAAAAATGCCCATTTTCCTGCAGTTCATTGTCTCTGTGGTCACTGGTTCCATATGGGCTTAGCTTAATGAAGAATATGTAGTTACCACTCTTTCAGGGATCTGCTGCGAGTCGTTTAAACACGAACTGTTCTTCATGTCTGTCAGGATGCATGAAAGCTGTGGTCACTCCGACAGAACAGCCCTGAGGTTACTGCAGGCCTCACAGCCCTGTGCAAGAAAATTATTCAATAATTGAGCCCTTTCAAATGGGACTCAGCTTGATAAGGTAGACGTTGGATTCACCTGGGATGACAGACTCTGTCTTGAGAAGCAGTCAAGTCTGAAAGTCTGAGGAACACTTTGGGGGTAGCATGGACTACTCTCAATCTAGGGAAAAATATTGGCAAAAATAAGCATTTTTCCCTCTCACATTCATAAAATGTTCCTAGTGTTAAATCTCTATTTTTTTTTTTTTTTCCTCCTGGAGGCCAGTATGGATTAGCATTCCTTGCACAGGCCTTAGTTATTTTATAGAGCAGATCTACTAGCATTTCAAAAACGTTTACATTAAGTGCTGGACAGTAGCCCATTTTCACAGAACATATTTCATTTGGCCACACCACAGTTATGTATTGTCAAGAGCCCCATTATCAGCCAATAACTGCACCTCATTTTACTTTCTTGCTGCACCTTATCACAAGCCAAGTGCTGACATCCTTGCGTGGCCATAACTCCTGCTGCAAGGGCTGATGAGGGTAACTGCCAAAGCTCTGCAGACAAAGGCACCCAGGGGCCTGAAATCAGGCTGGGCTCAGTGATTTCAGATGATGTGAGTTAAATTCAGTGACTCCTTTGAGAGAAAGCTCTTCAGAGAAGGTGTGGCCATTTTCCAGTGTATTGTTTGTCTTCCTAATTACTGGACCACTGATTGCATCAAGCCACCATACTGCACCCATAGGTAGGAGCCGTGATCCAGCAGTTAGAACACAGGACAGCAAATTATCACCGGATTATTATTTCCTGTACATA